GAGTAGCTCACAGCTTACCACTAACTCAGTTGCAACATTATATCCTGTTTACAGAATTAATAGCCTCCAACCCCCCAAAAAGATTAAATCTGACAAATATAAAGCTACTTTAAATTGTGATACACTGACAAAAAAAAAAGATGTTTTTTTTCATCCAAACATTTATAATCTTATCCTCAGAATCAGAACATCACGGCGGATGTCCTGCGCCAACTTCTGGAGTCCAGGGTGTCGGAGCACATGGAGGACTGTCTTCACAACCCTGTTTTCTCTGTTGCTCCAAACACAGACAGCAGCTCTCCCAACCTGATGATTAGCTGCCAGGTGCTGCACAGTCAACTGTTGCTTTTGAAGATGTTTTTTTTTGTTGGATGTTCATAAGACGAAAAGAAAATCTCATGCTGCTAGAAAAACGTATCTCTCTAAAAGTCCCTGCCACAGAAAATGTCATTCCCCCTCAGATCTTAACGTCGTATCTAAGTGCTTTATGTCCTTATTATTTCTGCAGACAGATATATATTCTCCAGTCTGTACAAAACATGTTAATTGTTCTTTTCTTTGCTTTCAGGTTTGTGACTACCTGTCCATTGTCCTGTGAAAGATGCTGCTCCTGCCATGAGTGTACTCACTCACAAGCTATGAATGAGAGTTTTTATGTTGATTAAATAAAGGCTATTTTTTTTTTTATATTTAATGAGTGGATGGTTTAATCATCATGTATACTTCCATCCCTTACTACTATTTCATACCAATGGTCCTATTTAAGTGTTGATCAAGATGTGCCAGTGTCTTTTTAGTATCACCAAGTTGCTTTATTAAAACTTGTGCAATAAAGTCAAGTTTAAGAATTGGAATCGGACTGCTCTCCTTTCTTACTGAGTCAACTTGAGACTTTACTCCAGCTAATTCTGTCTAAAGGTGATTCCAGCTTAAGCTAAGAAAGCTACAAATCAAGTGCACATAGAAATTGAGTGATGCAGAAGATGCATTATATATGAATATATTCTGTGCTATATATTTTTTAATGTGGGGCCAAAAATGATCTTTTGCTGCTCTTGTTTAACTAAATGTTATGGGTGAACAGAATTCTTTTTTCTGCAGCAACATATTAAGCTCTGGAGACATACACATGCCAGTAGTGCTACTAACAACACTAATTATGGATACTATATTCTCCCCAAATAAGAACCTCTTTAAAAATCTAGTTTAACTGAAATGCAATCTTTTTTTTCATATCGATGAGGAAAGAAATGGCTGTGGAAGTAGTTTTAATTTTTAGAACAATCAAATCAATGAAACACTATTACAAATGACAATGAGACAAAGATTACTCATATCTCCTCTCTTATCATAACACCACCGTTATTTGTATGGCATGATCATAGAGGGCATGATTCATAAGACTTTATTAAAGCCACTGGATATTTTTTTATTTGCGTCGATTTAGGCGCCCCCTTTGGGCAAAATGGGACCTCATCGCTGTGCTGATTTTGTTAATGTGTAGGCTGGCTAGTAGTATTTTGTGATGAAAAATTGCTCCCCATATAATACTCATTTGACAACAGGAGCCAACCTGTAACAGCTCACCTCATGCGAGCAGAGAACTGTCATGATGACAATATCTGTCTCTCCATACTGTAATCTGTTCTGCACATGTTCAAATTTACAAATTATCCCTGCACTCATGTTCATTTCATTTGGCTGTCTACTCGCCGTTATATTGTATAGTTTCTACTTATAATATGTCTGCACTCATGCACTTTAACTTATGTCAATGCTGTCCATTTACAACACTGTTTTTGCACATTTACATTAAATCTTCCATATGTAATCTTCCTATTTAAGACTAGTAATGCTTAGTGAAATCCTAGTTGTGTATATTCACATTCTTATTTTTGATATCTTTTAGTACTTATTTACTTTGTAGTTAATATTATATTGTGTTTAGATTTGCTAACATTGTGTTTTTTACTCATATTGTGTGTTTGGATAACCTGCTGCTGTAACGCCACAATTTCCCAGTTTGGGATCAATAAAGTAATTCTATTCTATTCTATTCTAACCACCTCATCTGACACCTGTCCCACAGGAGCTTTAACAGGCATTACAAATAACTGTATAGAAATAATCAGTCGTGTTGCTGATGGTCTTTGCCTGAATGTCACAATTTTATTATTATTATTATTATTATTTTCTAAAAACGTTTCAAAGAAAGACATTTTCGTTCGTTTCAGACATGCCCTCTGCCTTCACATTTACAGTACGGCTTCGCTCCCAGTCAAGGCGGTACTCAGCATCACCAGCAGGGGGCGGCATTGCTCCGCCCATTGTACGCGAACCTGACCGGAAAACATCCCGGCCGGGCGCAGCGGAGGCAGGCAGAGGAAAGATGGCAGCCGCGGCAGTGGCTGAGTTTCAGAGAGCACAGTCTCTTCTTGGAACAGACCGGAATGCCTCTATCGATATTTTACATTCTATAGGTAAATATAACCAACACTTTATGCCAAATGTGAGGAAAATAATATCGCGGTGTGACAAAGAAGAAGCTGCAACAGCCAGGTCTCCTTTGTGAAGTAGCCAAGTTAGCCATATGATGCTGTTAGCTACTTAGCAGCTAAGCTAAGTTAGCTTGCCTAGTGCTGGCCGTCTCTTTTTCTCTCCTAGCTTGCACAGTGAGTCAGCAGCAGTGGGCTAGCCGGTTAGCAACACACCGGCAAGCTTATCAGACGTGCTAATGTTAGCTGCTCTGGCTCATTCATTTGACAGGGACTTGGGGTGGGGGGGTGACAGCTGGCTAGTTTAACGTTAGCATGCAGCCAGCGTTGTTAGCATGCTATGCCTCGTCTTGTCAGGTGTCAGGCCGACAAGGAAATCAACGTGAAACTGAGTTCACTCTCTAACCACACTCATTTTGTTTAATGCAAATGTGCTGTTGTTTTCTTTGTCTGGGTTATTAAAGCGTAGCTACGAAGCTGTCATTAACAATAACCTCCTTTTTTTATGGTTTGACAGGTTCGCTATTTAACCATTTGGCGGCTTGCCATCCAATCAGAACAGATTAAACTCGATTGATCGTTAATGCTCTGTTTAGTATCAGTATAGTTTGTATATCGCGGTGATTCCTGTTGGTACGGATCTGATTACATCATTATCATCATCATCATCGTTTGTGTGTTGTAGTGAAGCGGGACATCCAGGAGAGTGATGAGGAGGCTGTTCGTGTTAAAGAGCAAAGCATCCTGGAGCTGGGTGGGTTGCTGGCAAAGACTGGGCAAGCTGCAGGTAACAGGACATCATGTTCACACAACCAGCCACACACACACACACACACACATAGCGTTATAAATAGGGTATTGTCCAATTCACCCATCAATACAATTTGCAACCCAGTCGTGTCACATGAGTACTGATCCTGGGGAATAAACAGGATTTTAATAGTTTATACTTCTAGACATTTTTTTTTCAAAAATGAGTTTTTGTCATTTTTGGAACATTACAGATGTGCTTTATTTTGTGGACAAATATCTTGAGTCAATTGTGTTGTTCTTTTGAGAAAATAGTCGGTTGTGTTTGCCTTAACTTCCAAAAGCCCTCGAGAAACCAAGGCAGAGTCCAGTAACTTCACTCGTAAGGGGTCTTTGCCTTTGAACTGCAGCATTCAGGAACGCTCAATCTGAGTTGAGGTCTTCTGCCTTTGTTTTGCTGCGGATCAAAGTGAAGTTACTGTTTTACTGCAGTGGAGTTAAGGTGATATGCCTTTGTTTTAATATCTGTCATCAAGCAATTCTGACACACACAGTTGCTTGACTAAAGTGTAGAAAATAAATAGTGTTGGTTGTGTTATTTTAACCATGCAACCAAGTGAAATACAGTATCAAATGGAAGTTAATGCCTTTTCCCTTGGCATGACCCCGTATTATTATACAGGCAATGCAAAGGCAGAGTACCTTAACTTCCAAATAAGGGTCAAAGGTCATGTTTGAGCTAAAGATTTTTATCAACATTAATGACATTATTAAAAAGACAAAGAATTGCCTCATTTCCAATATTCTGTCTGCAACTCATTTGGCTGGAAAACAAAATACTTTAAAGTCATTTTTCTCAGTTCTACACTCTGGCGAGTTAAGGTCTTTTTTGCCTTTGTAGGGCAGTATAAGCAACTGGTTCTTTAGTTATTATCCCTGTCAAAAACCCTCTGTAAGACATCTACTGATCTTGTTTGAAAAAAAAAAAAAACCCCAGCCATGAATCACTTGTGTGAGGGAGGTAGTAGCTATTGAAGGTCATAGCTTGAGGGGACTTTGATGAAAAGTTTGTTCCTGCCTCACATTTGGGCCAGAGGAAGCGCTGTGATTCAACACAACAGTAGAACAGGAAAAAGTGAACTTTGTCCAATGAAGTGGCACTTCACATGTCCGGGTGCTGACTAGAATCATTCTCTGTTTACATACAGGACTCCATTAGAGTCTCTGATTGGCCGCCTGCAGATTTTTCCAAATGTCTGAGTAGGACTTAAAGTGTCTTGCACAAGTATTCTTCCTGTTGTGTTTTCCATATGTGTAATGGTACAACTGCAAATGACGAGTACAAGGGGTTGAACATACAACACACTTTTTAGAGACTCCTCCTGTTTTAGTTAGGAAACGTTCTTAAGTGGACATTGTGCTCTCAGAAATCTATATTGATAATATAGATTAGTTTCAGCTGTCTTCTAATTAAACATTTTTGACTTAATTTCTTCCCGTCCTATCCTTAGAGCTCGGGGGTCTGCTGAAGTATGTACGGCCCTTCCTCAATTCCATCTCAAAGGCAAAGGCAGCCCGGTTGGTCCGCTCCTTGCTGGACCTTTTCCTGGACATGGAGGCTGCCACAGGCCAGGAGGTCGAGCTCTGCCTGGAGTGCATAGAGTGGGCCAAGGCTGAGAAGAGGACCTTCCTCAGACAGGCACTAGAGGTGAGAATTGCTACATTTCGAAACAAGTGCATTGCAGTTCGACACTCCTGTGCTGGTGGGAGCAGCACTGTAGGAGCACCAACGCTTCGCCAAAGCTCTAAGCTTTCAGAAGTGAAACTAAGTGTGCTAACTGGCTGAAGGCAACAATAAGTAAACTATCTATACTTAAGGAATCCTTATAAATCAAAACAGATGTGAAGAAATATTTGGCAAAAACACTGGAGTTGCATTTGAACAAATACTATGTTAACAAGAACCTTGACATGTTGACCTCTCTCCTCAGGCTCGTCTCATCTCCCTGTATTTCGACACAAAGTGCTACCAGGAGGCACTACAACTCGGTAAGTCTTAAATCTACTTTAGACAATTACAGATTGTTATAATGAACAATGGAAAGCGTGTCTGAAAATTAGTAAGGGGTGGATGAAGAATACAACCTTGAAATGTTGTTTTGAAATCCTGCATTAAATCATTTGTGGACTAAAAACGTATAATACATGTTTAATTATTCCTTTGAAGGAAGTTTAAGAAAAGGCCTGAAAGCGCTGCTTTGACTGTAAACTTCCCTCCTTCTGCAGGCTCCCAGTTGCTGCAGGAGCTGAAAAAGATGGACGACAAAGCCCTGCTTGTGGAGGTTCAGCTGCTGGAAAGTAAAACATACCATGCACTCAGTAACTTGCCCAAAGCCCGTGCCGCCCTTACGTCTGCCAGAACAACCGCCAATGCCATCTACTGCCCGCCCAAACTGCAAGCAGCTTTAGACATGCAGTCAGGTACAAAGCAGGAACGACACTGTAGCTTTTGCTGCAGGACCCTCGTATGTTTACGTCTTGAACAGATAAACAAGAGTGGAATCTGTTGCTTTGTGGTTGCAGTTAACTTAACAATGACACGAATGTTTTGGTTGATTTTTCAGGGATCATTCACGCAGCAGAGGAGAAAGATTGGAAGACGGCTTATTCTTACTTCTATGAGGCGTTTGAGGGCTACGACTCCATTGACAGCCCCAGAGCCATCACAGCCCTCAAATACATGCTGCTCTGCAAAATCATGCTCAACGCGTAAGTGAAACACTACTCAGGCCTGTTAAAAATCTAAGTTTGAATGTATCTGGGCTGGTTGATGAAATATATGTGTAATGGGGAGCCCCATAAAAGTTTGATGAATAATGTTAAAAACATTTTATTTGTATACTTCAAAGTGCACGTTCCACTGCAAAGCTTTGGCCTGTGAAAAAAGTGATCTACTCTGTTAAAGAGAAATGAGTGGACTCAATTCATATATGACATCCTGTGTGTTAAAGGATTAAAATATAGCTGCTGCTATATGTTGGTCTTTCCTTATGGGGTGTGTTTTTTTAAGAAAAGGACATTTTCAGATAATTTCCACTGTTGCTGGTTTAGCTTAGTCAGTAGAGCAGGCGCTCCGTATACAGAAGCTATTAGTTCTCAACGCATCGTCCACAGGTTCAAGTCCCTACCTCTAACCTCTGATGTTTGTCTACCCTCCTCTCTCTGCCCCACATTTCCTGTCTCTGTTCAGCTGTCTTATAAATACAAGCAAAAAGCCCCAAAATAATTTTAGAAAGAATGCTTAACGTTGAACACTAAAAGAATAATAACGAGAAGTAATAATGCCAATAAGTAATAAATGGCATATCTGTTGAATTGTATATTGGGATATACTTTATAATTGTACATTAATATTGATCAACACAGTAAAAACATCCTGATCATGTTTGTTGCCCAAAGTTAATATACTTCTTTAAAGTAATCACATTATTTATAAATGTTTCCAATTTCAAGGTTAATCACATTTCACTCGGAGAGAACCCAGAAAGATTGTCTGTCGTGATTTGCCTGATCTTTCTTTTTCAGCCCAGAGGATGTGCAGGCCCTCATCAGTGGCAAACTCGCTCTACGATATGCTGGACGACAGGTAAACCTTTGTTCCTGAGAATTTTAATGCATGTCCAGTTTAAACATAACTAACCTATTGCAAAACCCCTCCATGACAAGGATTGAACAATTCTACATATTGTATCTTTATACAGGACTTTGGGCTTTTCCTAGACTGCAAATGTTGTCAGATTTGGCTAAGTAGCTCACTTATAGCTAACCTATTGTTATTTCCAGGTCCAGCATTAAACAGTGTGGTCCAGCATTAAACACTCTGTGTTGAAAAATGCCTCGGCCTGTGTTCACAAACATTCTGAGAATCCTCTCAGAGGGCTCCTAACTTGAACCCCTGAAACTTGATCTATCCTGGCAAGGATTTTTAGCTTAGGAGTGATTTAGGAACTTTCTCAGAGCAACGTTGAGCAAGGAAGGGCCTGCAACTTTTATTTTAGTGAGGAGGAGTGGTTTACCCCGTTGCTAGTTACGACACATTTGTTTTCAGAAGCTGTGATTGGTTGATCCAAAAAAATCAGAACAAAAACATACTTATAATGGGCATAGTTGGACCTAATCAGAGAATCTAGTCAGACACTGTGTAATTAGGAATGTTCTGAAAAATACATCTCTGTTGAATAAATAGTAAGACGTACTTAATGCATACAAAATGTTTAAAATCACATGCCCACTTGTGCAGCAGCCTCTTCGATGCTGATCATTATATCATCATGTGAAGAGCACCTGTGGAGGGAACCACATGTATAGGGACTCAACATACATGTCTCACTTTGTTCTGAAAAAAGTCATAGATGGATTGAAATGTCTGCATAAATAATTTGTATCTGTTCTGCCCAACAATGATTCAATAATATTCTTTGTGTAGCGTTTGAAGAACATTTCTCCATTTTCTCCTCAGCTTGAGAAACTGTTAAGCCTGTAAAAAATCCTCCTCACTACCCCTCTAACAGTTTTACTACTTAAGAGATGTCTGAGGGCGCACTCACACTAGGCAAGCCGTACCTATGCACACTTCACACCTAAAGTCCAGTTTGTTTGACCAGTGTGACAGCCGCGCTCAAGCACGGTACACTTTCTTGGCTCTTGCACACTTGGAAGAGGTTTGCTTCGGCACGGTGCAGTTCATGCACGAGCAAACGCACAGGTAGCTACAGAATGTGGACAGCCTTCATTACAGAGTAACCCTGGAGTGTTATGTCTGTATCTGACTAAAATATCTCAAGATAAGCCATAAAAGTCAGTAAAGTAGCTGTCATGTTCTCTGTGTTGTCCTCCAATGAGCGGATGTGGAATCAACATAGCGACCTTTTATGTTTATTTTATTTTATTTTTTTTGATTCCGCCTGTCTTGTAAACTAAGAACACTTCAGGCCCGTTAGTCCTGGAGCAATGTGAGTGCAGGCCAATCGTGCTTAGGAGTGCACCCTTAAGGGTTAAGAAGTTTTATGAATAATTTTATCATAACCACGATCTAGTCTCAACTTTAAGGAGGAATTCTTCGAAAATGTCATCATTCTAAGAATTTTCTTAGAATTTTGTCACCAGGAGCAACTCTTAAGTATTTAGAAGGAGAGTATTTACTTTATGAACACGGCCCCTGGTTTCTTTGTGTTTGTGCTTGGGATGATGCTGTGTTGTAATGGAAAAGTGAAATAGCTGAAGATAGATTACAACACTGCTGTCTGGCGGCGTTGCTGTGCACACCACACACAACTTAACCACTGCATGTTATCCAACATCAGAACAGTTCTCCTGATGCATTGATCCAGTATCACATTAGATACTGATATCATCAATGATAATTCTGTAGGTCAATATATTTTTACACCTCTTGTTGCTGTTTAGTCAATATGAAGTCATGCCTTTGAATTGGTCCCCTTTTCACTTTGAACTGCGAAAATTGAAATGAAATGAAAACATCGATCTGATAAATCAAAGTGTATCTGTAACCCGATGTGTGTTTTCTCTTCCTACAGACAGATTCACTGAAATGTGTGGCACTTGCCAGCAAGAACCGGTCGCTTGCAGACTTTGAGCAGGTTTGTGTCCACAGTTTGAAACTGTATTTTGATCATATTGAGGCTGTTGATAGACTTGTATGTTATAAACACAGTCATACATGAAGTAACAGGAACTAGAACAGTCTTTCCAATCGTTTGATTTCTGTTAGTGATAGGCTCATGGCCATGTCTGAGTTTCTTGCTTGATTTGTAATGCATTGATCTTGTGTCCCTCCTGAAGGCACTTACAGAGTACAAAGCAGAGCTGAGGGATGACCCCATCATCAGCAATCATCTGACCAAGCTGTATGATAACCTGCTGGAGCAGAACCTCATCAGAGTCATTGAACCTTTCTCCAGAGTCCAGGTAATCAGTCTGACATCTGTCTGTATTTAACCCCAACAACAAGTAAAGACACATAAAGGACCTTTTGTTGACACCCGCCAACAAACGTAATAAACCACAAGTAATACAGATTTGCAGCTTTAAATGTAATAATCCCAAAGATGAAGCTGTGTGAATTTGAGAAAGAGAGCGTGTGGAAGAGAAGGTATAAGGTGGACTCGTTAATGCACAGCCTATATTGAGCACAAAGTTTCTGCAAGTTATTTATAACATACTCAGAGCATTGCTTTGACACATTTTGACCTGCTCTGCCCCAACTCAACATATTTTCTAAGGAGCTAACTCGAACTCATTTTGCAGATGTATAAGTAAATAAACAAACGATAACCAGCAAGATAATTTTTCATTTTCATATTACATTAGTGGGAAGTTATTACAGTTTTGAAAACTGCTTCCCATAAACTTCTTCCCATAAACGTCACAAATCCCTGCAGATGTAACAGTTACTACATAATAATTGCAGTGAATTTTGTATGACATTTCTAGCAAGCCACTGCTTTTACGTTTGTGGGATTATTACATTAAAAGCTGCAAATCTGTATTGCAATTGTGTATTATTCCGTTTTTGTATTATTACTATTGTGGGCTATTTTATTACGTTGGCAGGTGTTGCAGACCTTATTCAGGTTGTGCCCTGGTTGCCTCTGTGCCCCAGGTTCGGGCAGATTTTGGTATGTCCAGTATGCAAACTTTAAATAGTTGATTTGTGTTTAATTAAGTATCTCTATTTTGTTTTATTGTCTGACAGATAGCACACATTTCCTCCCTCATCAAACTCTCAAAGGTAAGATTTGCTCAACTTTATCAACATTTATTTTTTTACTGCCACTTCAGTTCTACTTGAGAGGCTGGTTTTACATTTTAGATTTCGCCGTGTAATGTACTAAATCTGAGTGTGTGTGCCTTGCAGGGAGATGTGGAAAGAAAATTATCACAGATGATCCTGGACAAGAAGTTTCACGGTAGGTGCCTGCAGATTATGGGCTTAACCTTACTGAATGTGGAAATAGGAGGTATTCCTGGTTGCAAACATTAGTGCTACCTTGTTGTTTACAGTCACTCTAGATCAGATTATTTGTCAGTTAGCAATTTAGACCTTTTCTTAAGTTTCTCCTGCTGTTTTAAGTGGTGCCTCAAATCACAGATGATCCATGAATCCCCGTGTGGAGTCTCAATGAAACAAAGCAGAGTTAAAGTGAGAGTAGGTGACATGAAGATCTCGTTACAAATCCGAAGACAGTTCAGACTTTTTGGAAATCATTTCTGCAAGCTTTGCGCTATCTTTGACATGTAAAGTGTTGATATTTCAATGTGAATTGTTACTTTGTATCAAACTGTGCTTTATATTTCCTCCGCTAACTCTCACCATGACCACGTTCATCATGATCAGCTGATGTCTGTGTGACAACAATCATTAGCTTAAAGTTAATAACAATTTGTCAGTCTGCTGTAGTCTGTAGTTATAAACTTAGCAGAACAAACCGTTATACAAGTACATATAGTCACCAAGTGCATCATCCCTGTTTTTAGTTTTGTCTCGTCACACATCACATGCTTCAGCAGCGTGTAACACACACCAACAGTGTGTTTATGTTTTGTGTTCTAAATGGCCATGTCTGGTCGAAAAAACAACATTCTTTCCATAGTTTACAGTAGGGCTGGGAAATATATTGAGTTTTTAAGATATATCGATATATTTTCAAACAAGATATAGGGTAAGACAATATCGTTAATATCAATATAGTTTATGTTGCATTAAAATAATGTTATAGAGGTGCCAGGTCACCTTTTTCTCATCTTACTGATGATGACTGACTGTCTGTCCCTCTTAACCCTGCTCCTCCTCTCTCTCTCTTTTATTGTATTTAAGGAACATTTTAATTTTATAATATTACTTTTTAAACTCACAAACAGGTAGTTTATTTTTCCATGTGTTTTCACTGTTAAAAAGGCCGGATTCGAACCCACGGCCATCGCGACGACGACTGCAACTTTTGTACATGGGCGCGCACCATAGCTGCTAGACCAGCCAGCACCCCATTATTTTTTATATATATATATTTTGGCCCTGTGTGCCAGCCAAATGTCAAACTGCATCGAAGCCACCCAACACTAGCTGGGGCTTAAGCTCCGGTTAATGCTGGTTAATGCTGCCACCCTTCCTGCTTTGAAGGGTGGCAGTAGCTCAGTCTGTAGGGACTTGGGTTGGGAACCGGAGGGTCGCCGGTTCAATTCCCAGTGCGCACCAAATACGGAAGTTGGTCTGGTAGCTGGAGAGGTGCCAGATCCCTTCCTGAGCACTGAGCACCAAACCCCCTCCCCACCATCAGTTCAGGAGCGCCCGCTGTGGGCCGCTCCGTCACTCTGACATTAGTGCATCCATTAGTGCATGTTCATAGGATCCTGTTTGTGCTAGATAGATATCAAAATTGTAACATTGTGTATATAATGAAGAAAAGTGGCCTTGAGATTCGTTATAGTTCGTTACAGTTACAGTCAAGCCAATTATACAAATGTATATTTTTTGTCAGATCCAAAAGAAACATCTGATCCATGACACACCAATGGTTCATTCTTACTTGTGTGACATGTTGACCCATTGCACCACTAACCGTTTCCTACGCTTACTATCCCTCACCTATCTTCAGGTATTTTGGACCAAGGGGAGGGTGTGCTGATTGTGTTCGAGGAGCCGGTGGTGGACAAAACATACGAGGTTGCCCTGGAGACCATTCAGAACATGAGCAAAGTGGTCGACTCGCTCTACAACAAAGCCAAGAAACTCACATAAGGTGAGTCCGGAAGAACTTAACTGAGATAACTTGAAGTCAATGACAGCAGAAGTTCACAGAACAAACATGAACATAAATAACAGCTCCTAACATATTTCAATGGATCAGTTAGAAGAGACTTACTAACTAATTCCATTGATTATTGTAAGGCTGTTTCCTTTTGTCTGACCATCAGTCTCATAACAAACAATGTTTACTGATAGATGGCTTTGCTGCAAATACTACCAAATCTTAAATTATTGATTTTGAGTTATCATTACTTCAGAAGGATAAGGCTAGTGACTTTTGTTTTTTTGTTCATTCCAATACAAATATCAAAACAAATATTTTACTTCTGAGTTTGATTACCATCTATCTGGTTTGCTGCTATCTTTTAGTGTCAGGAGATAGAGCACAGTTTAGTATTCCTATATTGTGCAACAAGGGGTGAAAAGGGCAAACTGAGGGGGGTCTTTTTCTCCAATTTAAAGACTGCGTTGCTAACCCCAGAAAATACAACTGAAAATAATTTATCAGATGTGCTGGTACATGGATTCAATAATGTTTGCACAGAGCCAACCTACTAGTTTCCCTTTAATTCTAATGTCTGTGCTAAGCTAACTGGATACTATGAGTAGCTTCAAATTGAATTTAAGAGACTCAAGAGTAATAATAATCATCCCATTAACTCTTGGCTCTAAAAGTTTTTTAAATGTTGAACATGATCTTTGATAAAAGTGCCTTCACATAAGCACAGTTGATAATAAGGTAAATACAACACGTTACAGTTTGGTAAAATTGACGTGAAGCCTGTTGACCATAAATGAACAATTCTATATAAACTCATTTTCTGCATTCTGTATTCGTCCCACTCAGAGAGAATGAAACCATGGGTCCTTAAGTCTGGAGTTACGTCGGCCAGTCAGATCTCCGTTGATCAATCAGTTCAACCCGGGAGGGACGAGGGGAGGAGGATGAGGAGATTACGAACACTAAACGACCCAGCAAGCAAACAAACAAACAAACAAACCAGCTGATTACTGAAGACAACCCCACAGAACAACACGCTGACTGGGTGGATATACTGTCCCCTCCTTGTCCTCTCTCACACTTCTTCTCCCTCTCCTTCCTGTCTCCTCCTTCCAATCTGACTGGGGGTTGATCTGACACAACGTGGACAAATCCAGGCACTGTGCCCCTCATCTCTCCTCCCACCACTGGTTTCTACTGTATGTAAAATTGGACAAGCCTCCCCCCACTTTCCCCCCCTCTGTTTCTCTCTGCGCTGGCCATCAGGGAATCTTGTAAAATACCAATAAAGAATACATATACAGTACTTATACATACATGTATTATATATATAAAAAGAACCTGCTCTGTCTGTTCTCAGAGTGTAACCAGGTGTAAGCATGGGGTGGTTGGTCTGTATGTCTCACTGGACTCTACTTGTTCTGTTCCATTTGCCAACCAGCCCTGGAACTGAATGTTTGAATTTCTTAATTTTTCTGCGGTTTTGAAGAATCACCCAACAAGTCATCTGAATAGTTTTGAAAACAGAGATTGTGAGAACAGCCCCTGCCTTTGCTTCACTATGACCTTTGCCCCACCCACCCCCCCTCCCTCATCAGTTTCCCCCTGAGTGGTCTTACTCACTCACAAGGCATTCTGGAATATGTGGACCAGACAGGGAATTCTGTCCGCTTGGGACCACATCACAAGAGAGGAGGACGATCATCACCACTACTTGGGGTCTCCTATACTCCTGCTCCTCCTCCCTGCACTCCTACTTCCTGTTTGTATATAACAAAGCCAAGCGCCTCTGTTCATCCCAGGCCCGATGTATTCACACTGTCTCCTTTTTTTATAATGGGTTAAGAACAGGAGGAACCTCCCCGCTGAGAGCTTGGTCAGTCACACTAAGTGCTTTTGATGCTCTCAATATGTGACTGGAGTCAGAACTCTGCATTTTGAGATGGGATATTTGTGAAGAAAGGGTGAGTTTCACTAAAAAAAAAAAAAATAAAGCTGTAAATTTCTGGGAACTGATTTTGCAAGGACTTGAGGGTTACCATATATGACAGAGAAAGAGAAATGCTAATAAAAAAAATTAAACCTGGAAGTTGTGTGGTGTGGGATTTTGAGTAATGTCCATTTAGCTTCTATGTAATACTCTTCTTTTATGTGCCTCGATCTTGTTTTTTTCAGTAGGGCAATATACCCTATGTTCTCCTTCTGTATGTATGCATTTAGTTCTTTGGACCAGTTATTTTTCAACCAGTCTTTTTTTGTTCAGTTACCTGGGTTGTATGTGGAAGGATTACTCTAGTCTGTATCTCCACTCCATTGGTAAAACTTAAATAACAATTTGTTAAAAATATGTAAACATTGCAGATGATTAAGAGTGTGTGGACAAATGGTTGAAATGTGAAGTTTAAATGGAAGTCATCTGACGAGGCTTCAGAGGCACAACAAATTACTTCTGGCTTCATTTAAATCAGTGTTAGTGTATAAGCTTGCGCCTGGTAGTCAGAGAGACTTAGTACTGACATCTAGTGGTGAGATTTTGACATTACTACTTTAAACTTTAGGGATCATATAACTTTACCTCCAGCTTGAGTATTAAATGTGTTTTTAATGAGTGTATTATGGTTAAGGTTCCGGCTTGTAAGAATAAGTATTTAACATTTTCTGAGATGAGCAGTCTGCTGCAGCTTAACTTAATCTAAACTCTTTTAGGAATGTTACAGGCCATACAGCACCCCAAAGGTTTATTAAGCTTTTATGGGCTGTTTCTCCTCCTCCTCCCCGAGGCTTGTGAGAAGCCTCGGGTCCCGAGTCAACACATGTAAAAGAGGAAAAGCCCTTTTCTTTAATTAGCCTCGATTAACTGTAAATAACCCCCAAACACTGGTGGACAACAACACATGGCTCTAAATCTGCATTTGAATGGAACAGCACCGTAAAGCTTATTCGTAAACACTCCTTATCACAACACCATTATGCGTGGTTAAGTCAATCTTCGTCTACTCTGGTGAGAATAGTGGTTGTTTTCTAAGATTTGAAAGAGGTAAAAGTTAGAAGACTTGACAGGATTGCCAACTGTTTATGCGCCGTGCTGCGGGCCCAAGGAGAGGCTTACAAGAGGTTTCTGTGGGGAGGAGAAGGGAGCCAGACAGGCGACAGTCATCGCTGTCTTGGCCTCAGGGCAGAGGCAGTGAGCGAGCAGCCGAGCCAATGAGAAGGAGACATCCACTCCCCTCTGTCCTGCCCGGCTTGGCTCAGCTCGGCGCGCCCTGTAATTACCAGCTCTAGTTGGGTTGGGCGCCGCCACGGTGGACAACCCGGCTGCTGCGTTTAGGGAGTTTGGGAACGCCAGCTCCAGACGGTGAGGAGTTCAGAACTGTCCTTGGTTTAAAGTTAAGAGCAGAATAACTCTTAAAAAAAAAGGTCGGGAAATGAACGGACAGTCCTCACCTGTCTTCGAAGAGAAGAAGCCTCCCCTATCCGTGGTTGGGAGCTCCATCTCGGCCACCAAGGATTCACCCACTCTGCCGGAGTCTTCATCCACAGACATGGGCTTCTACAGCGGCCAGAGTGCGCTCCACGGCCCGCAGGATTTCTACCAGGCGCAGCAGCCGTACTCAGCTCAGCACATGAACCCGTACGCGTACCACCATTACAACCTGAACGGGATGGCGCCAGGGGGTGCGTACGCTGTTGGCAAGACAGAATACCCATACTCTCATGCAGCGTACAGAGAGCACGCTGCCTACAGCAGAGAGGTGCAGTCAACGATGCTGGCCGAAGGTAAGTCAAATCAAATACCAAAAGTGAACTTCTGTACCTTTAAGGATACTTTGGAACTAATCCAAAGATTGATCCATGGTATATTTTTAAATGTAAATATATGAAATGATAAATACATAAAATGCTTACACACAGCTCTCCATCTTTGTCAAAGAACCAGAAAAACCACATTGACCACCTGAGGGTGATCTTTGCTAAGCGCTCACGTGACGTCAGGCCTTTTAAACCAGATTATTGCCAATGACCTTTACGCACAAGGGGCCGAGACGTGTTTTCTTTTTCTTTTTTTTAGATTGCGCAGAAGTAAAGTGAAATACACATTTGGAAAGTAATATAACGTGCCTAAAGTGAATCTTTGATATGAAAACAACAATATTTATATTTTTATATATAGATATTTTTGCTGAGGTATACATGTATTCAGGATTTATGAGAAAAATATATCAGACAGTTAAAATAATATATCTTTTTTTGGATTAAAGAAGTACATCAAAAACAACAGTATGGAATTATTGTCAGTTGAGCAGCCTCTGATTTTTAATTGCCACATGCCGGATGTCACAGGTTGAAGGTACATTTTTATAAATGATCACCTTTGCAGTGTGTTGTCATATGTTTCCAGAAGAACACACTTCATGACACAACGTTTTTGGATGAGATATAGGAGAGGAAGAGGGATGGGGGGGGGAAGGGGAAATCAGAGATAATTATTACAGTCAACAGTGATAGACTGAAAGAGGTAAACTATTGTTTTCTGTTTCACTTTCTCATTTCTATATATTATTTTGTCCTTTAACCTTTTCCCCCCCAGATAATATTTACGACAGGGAGTCATCATAAAGGCCTTTGGATGGAAGCAATTGCCTAGTTCTAACCGGTGATCTTTAAACTTCACCTATTTTCAAACTCTAGATTAACACACAATTGTTTTTTATAAACACAACAGCAAAATGTATCGGCCTGTTCTAAGAAAAATCAGTGGATTAAATGAAACAGTGAAAAAAAAAGAAACAAATATTGTGTAAAATCTTTTAAGTTTCTGTAAATGAGATCCTATAAGAGTAAAACAACGAGGTCACTGTGAGCTCAAGACCCAAATACAACAATAACTTAACAACGTTAGACAACATTAGGGAAAACAAGCACCATCTACATTTCACTTCAGGTCCAAACAATGGACTCCATTGTTCAAAAAAAGTCTTCTTGTTTTTTTTTTTTTTGTTTTTTTTTTTGAGCTGGGATTGTGCGTATGCAAACTACGGAGGAAAAACAAACTCGACAGACTGGTGTTCTGTTTCTGACATTCCAGTTGGGAGTTGACTCCTGGAAATGGCCTCGGGGGACTTTGGCCCTCAGCCACGCTCGTCAGGTGTCACAGCATGTCAGTCAGCCTTGGCCTTTGAATCATTCAGCGAGGACGGCTCCTTATCGTGCAACAGTCTGCAGCCACACCCAAATACATCTATCGACAATTAAACGATTTTATGAATACACAAACAGCTGATGAAAAGTATAAAGACTTAGTGGTTATAGATATGAAATTAACTCATAATAAATAAATGTTACAACAAAATCATTAGTTAAGTTAGGTTTGGATTAGGGTTAGTAAATCAATGAAAAAAGTTATCGATACATACACATTCATACATATTCATACACATATATTTGAACTGAATGGTCAAAATGGTGGTGTTTCTTGAATATGTGTTGATAAAAAAAAATGTGTGTTGGGAAAGGCTGAATGTATTTCTAAAAGTAGACACAAATGAGGTTCAGAAATAACAACACAAAGCATGAATGATGTATACAAGAGGGCCTTCAGGCTACTTGAAAAGCACCTATAAATCTCCGTCTTCCTCCCCGGCTGTGGGAGACACTCAGACCAAAATTATAAGTTCACAGTGCTGGCGGAATTTCTTTGAAACTTTAAGGGTTGTGAGCAGCAGTGGCCATTTTCGTGTGACAGCTTATATCTGCACAAACTGCTCTGTGAAGACATAGCACAACAGGATTCTTACACAGATCGAATATTATTTCAAAAAGACCACTGAAGTCGACTGAAAATTTCAATTTGGATTGTAAAATTCCTCAAGTCCATTTAAAGAACTTTTCTTATTTTTTCTACCCACAGTGAAGGAGGAACCACTTGTGGAGGTTCGGATGGTCAACGGGAAGCCCAAAAAGGTGCGGAAGCCGCGGACCATCTATTCCAGCTACCAGCTGGCCGTCCTGCAGAGGAGATTCCAGTCTGCGCAGTACCTGGCGCTGCCCGAGCGTGCTGAGCTGGCCGCCCAACTGGGACTCACACAGACACAGGTGAGGCTGCATTCGACACCATCAAATGCTTTTCAGAAAATACATTTTATAGAGTGTTGTAAAAAAATTGAAACCAGATTATGCTTAGCCTCTTACCTTGGAAGTGGCTGATGCTTTTTTTTTATTGTGCAAAAGAGTTGAATGTGAGCTGCATCTTAAGCTGAAGCACATGAATTAGTTGAAGTGTCAGCTGAAATAGATGCACAGACGGGTTTATCATTTAAGTGTTATAGAATAAAACAGGTGGTATCAGTTTACATGTTGTGGCTGAAGGTGTCTTGGGTTTTTGAAGTTGAAGTCATGAAGTAAGCTCCTCACTTTGAAGGAGTGTGAGCTGAAAGCAGTTTAACCTTCTTCTTTTTTTGAAAAAACAATACAGTTGAACTGACACAAACACAGTAAGACATTAATGTAGTTGAAAAATTTACTTTAAAGGTGCACTTTGTAGTTTTGGTAGAGAAATGAGAAAGTTGGAGAAGTGTACAGATTCTGTGGTATATTTTCTTAACTCTATTCACAAACTGTCCTCAGAGGAAAATTTGGTCCCTCTAACACTGTTTGAAGATAAAATGAACCACGAGAAGTTATGGTGGGGGGTCCGCAACAGTGAAACCGTAACTCTCCTGGTAGCTTTTAAGCTCTAAATAGTGTTCTAGAGATCCATTTTTTCTTTAAGTAAAGTTTGTGTATTCAGTTCAGAAAATATAGCATAGAATTGTTTCACTTCTCCAACTTTCAAATTTCACCTCTAAAACTCCACAGTGCACCTTTAAGCTTGTTAATCACTTAATTTAAAATGGAAACTCTGGGGAATGTTGAAGTAAATTAAAAACAGCTGAAGTGTTTGTATTTAAGGATCCTTAACATCCAACTGACGTCAAAACAGAAAAAAGTATTTGAAGTGTGAGTTGATGTGATGAGAGTGAGAGCAAAATAAATAAAGACACCTTGAACTGGCATAACTGAAAACACTCATAAAGGTCATATAAGGAGCAATACCGTATCACATAGGTTAAGGTTATGTTTAAACACATAGGGAGTTGTATTTTGTCTTCAAATCTACTACAATAGCAGGTTTAACAACAACAATGAAGGATACAGTACAACACTACACAATGAGATCCAGTGAGGTCGACTATGATCCTGTGTGGCACCGTGACATGTAACTGTCAGGCTGGTTTAGACAGACATACTCCTCCCTTTAAATGATTTAAAAAAGACAAAACTTGTGGCACGGGTTGTTTTAACTTGGCCTTCGGTATTTCTTTGTTCAATGTCATGTTAGGGCTTCATGCAGACGCTTAAAAAAACAAAACAAAGGTGTGAGCACAATACCCTGCAACTTGAAACGACATAGTCAGGTGAAGTTGGTTTGATGCCCTCTTGGATTTAATGTTGATTTAACAAAGAGCAGACTGACAATGGCTGTGATCCTGTTGATGACATGTAACAGAGCTCTGAAGAATCTTGCTCTGCAGGGCAATTATAGTTCTTTGTGTTTTGTGCTATATGAACGTTTATCAACAATAAAACATACAGTGTGTATATATAACTTTTATTTCTAAAAAATAACCTTATTAGCCTTGTTTATTTTGACAAAAATATTTTGCGGAATATTTTAAGGATAATTATTCATCTAATTTTTTAAAGAATGTAAGTTAAGAGTGAGCTCCGATTTAGGAACCAAAAGTGTCCCTATAAAGTTGATATATTATCTGCTATATTTCCATACGGCACTGCACAACTTACAGATAACTTCCTCATTGTCCCACTATAGGCGGATATTTTCCATTCGTTTCATTCACCATCATTGTGCTCACTTCATTTTGATAAGGTTTGGCAAATTGAAAACTATTTCCGTTAAAAATAACGCACGCTTACATGTGTCCTCGACATGAGGAGTGCATATTGGGGCGCCGATAGCGTAGTAGTTATTAGGGGTGGGAATCACCAGAGGCCCCACGATACTATATTATTCTGATACTTGAGTCACAATACAATATTATTGCGATTTTAAACATTTTGCGATATGCTGCGAATCGCTATACAATATATTGCGATTTAACTTTTTTAACTGAATTTTATGTCCACAAAATTAAAAATCAAGAACTGTTTGTCAAGTAAGAAAAAAATTGTCAGTCTAAATATCTCACTTCAGTCTTTATAGTTCAACATGACGGGAGTCAAGCCCACAGACTGAGCTACACTGTGATAAAGGTAAAACCCTGAAAAAGGCTGAATGCACCTCACAATCTGAACTGTTGGTATTTCAGTCTGATTGAACTTTAACATGAATCCTTCACAATGTAACTTGTTCAAAAAGAATTGTGCAACCCCTTCAGCAGTTAAACATTTAAAGAGCATATCTAAAATATCATATTAAAAATATCCATACTTGGCCGCCATGACATGATATAATATCGGCACACAAAATATCGCGATACTATGCTATATCAATTTTTCACCCCAGCTTTAGTAGTTAGTGCGCGCCCCATGTGCAGAGGTTGTGAGTTCTCCAAGCGGGCAGCCCGGGTTTGAATCCAACCTGTGTCTCCTTTCCTTCATGCCATTCCCCACTCTCTCTGTCCCTGATTTACAACTCCATCCACTGTCCTATTTCTACGATAAAGACACAAAAAGCCCCAAAATAAATAATAAAAAAAGACTGCATATCCTATTTTTTCATGAAACAAAAAAACTTGGTAAGAAAAAAAAACCTTTTTTTTTTAAATTTTGTTTTTTTATCAAAATCTTTTTATTGAAATACAAGCATGATGCACATTAAGTGCAGTGCTGATCAGTCACTGATAGTAGAGGATGGTAAAAATAAACACCAAACGTAGCTAACAGTCACATCTACGTAGGCAGAGTAAGAGACATGCACAAAAATAAAGCTATTAACTGCACATGGTAAATAAGTAAAGCATGGACCTACAACAACAGCCTGTGTTTTACTTTTTAGGTTAATGAAATTAACAAAGTAAACAAAAAAACAAAACAAAAACAATAAACAAAATATCCATTATAATACAATCCCTACCCTGTCACTGCCAGTGTTGACGTGAGATCATTTCCCCAGTCCCATTAAAGACCGAGTTGTGTATCTGAAAGAGAGAGATGATCAAGCTGCATCTGGATCATGGTTTTAAAGGTTGTGTACAGAGTTCAGAAAAGGTCCCCAAATTTCAATAAACTGTGCATTTGAATGTTGGAGTGAGAATCTTATTTTCTGGCATTGCCAGTACATATGAACAAGTGATGCTTCAGCACTCTTGCATTTGTCACAGTACGTGTCAATGTCGGGACAAAAACGAGACAGTTTAACTTTAGAGATATGAGCTCTGTGTAGCACTGAACTGGATTAGGCAATGGCGAGCACAGAGAGAAGTTGTGTTAACACGCTTGAGTACAGAGCCCCAAGTGTCTTCAGATAAAGACAGGCCCAAGCCTTCCTCCCATGATCTTTTAAATATGTCTGTAGTGTCCCGCTTTAGTTCTGCCACCATGCTATACAGCACTGAAATGAGTCTTTTCCGAGATGGGCTCAGGGACAGGACCGAGTCAACAATGGTTGTTTCTGCTGACGAGGGGATATGGGAAAACTTTGAGATGAGAAAACATCTTGCTTGTAAATATCTAAAGAAGTCAGACTTTGGTAGATTCAACTTTTTGCTTAACTGCTCAAATGATGCAAAATTATTGTCTCTAAACAGATCTTTAAAGTTTATAATACTCTTCCTGTGCCATTCACGAAAAACAGAGTCATGCACAGAAGGTTCAAAAAGATGGTTTGATTTAACAGGGCTTAGAAGAGAAAATCTGTCTAGCCCAAAGAATTTCCTGAATTGGGCCCATATTCTTAAAGAGTGTTTAACCACTGGATTCTTAATGGATTTGATGGGAGGGAAAGGAAGCGACGAGAAAAAGTTGTTTTTTTAATCTATTTTGAACTACTGTACTCATAATATTGATTGAGCAAAATCTTTATGTTGTCTGATAATTCCTTATTATCAACATCCATAATACCCAGGGTTTATGTTTAAGCTTTTGTGCTCAGCAGTCATAAGGTTGTGAACTCCAAAACTTGTCATGGGTGTGATCACATTAAATGGGCATTGTTTGGAGCGTGTTACGAATCGTTAACATGAAAAGCTCTGCTGTTGGCAGAGCTGCTTCTTTTTAAAACGAACACACAGCTATATTATTAAGCAATTATGAGAGCATTAAAAACACAATCCAAGTCATCTTTATTCAAGTTCAACATATAAGAAAACTGTACCATAATTAGTGCACAATAGATCTGACTAACATGATGTCTTTGTAGACTATAAAACAATTTGTTGCTTAGATATTTTCTCATGGTCTGTATGATTTATGATGTTTGAGCTTTAGTCTTTCAGCTACAGCCTTGACGTTGTCAAAGGACTTATTTGGCAAATAAGAAAGGTTGTTGTAGGAGGACATCAGCCAATGAATATTTCAAACAAATATTTTAAAAAATCATACATCTGAACACTCAAGCCCTCTTCCATCTCACTCATACTTATAAATCCCATTTCTAGCAATGACAGGCAGAAGTTTTTTTTCCTCCAAACTACAGTTAAAAAGAGAGTAAATAGGTGATATTCATTTGATGTTGCTTGATTTATTTAATTTATTTAATTTGCCTCAACATTTGGTGTTCTTCCCTCCAGGTCAAAATTTGGTTCCAAAACCGTCGCTCCAAGTTCAAGAAGCTCTACAAGAATGGAGAGTTTCCACTCGGAGATATTCCTCTCGATCACAGCCCTGACGCTAGCGACTCCATGGCCTGCAACTCTCCTCCGTCCCCAGCTGTGTGGGAGAACAACAGCAACAGCAACAGTAACAACAACAACAGCAGTAACAGCAACAACACAAACAGCAGCAACAATAATGCAGCGATAGACCCTACCAGCAGGGGGCAGGGTCACTATCAACCTCCTGTCGACTCCTCGCCCGCCTGCATGGGAGATTACACACATCAGAACTGGTACCAGCAGCAAGGGGAAAATTTAGGTCTGCAACAGTCGGGCCAGGCGCACCACGCGTCATCAGGTGCATCGACAGCTGCACAGAGTCTGGGAGCCGTCTACTGAAACATGGAGTCTGCACAAGAGGTTGAAAGAGGGAGGATTTTTTGGGGGGACGATTTATAGCTCTATTGTGACCAGAAACACATGACAGAGACACAAGTCATTACTGTAAACCCCAAATACACACGTCGTAAAACATGCTTCTCCACAAAATGTGGATTGAAAACGAGTACCGGCCGCAGCTACCATGTTGCATGAACTCATTCTACAGAGGTCATAATGAAAATAGTGGTGACTGATGTGGCTTTTGCAGAGCTGAGATTGACAAATTTAATTCAAAAAATCACAGATAGCCACTAATATTTACTTTATTTAATATGTTTTTTTATATTGCCATTTTTTAATTTAAGAAAAAAAAACACAACATTTTTAATCAACAACTGAAGACTACTGAAATTCTTCCTGGCTTTGCAGCGCTTCAAGTCCACCTAAGCAGCACAGGACACTTATGGTTGACTTTAAATGAGCAGAAAAATGGGTGGTTTGATTTGAGGTAAGGTCCGAACAGTGAACAGAACTGAAACAATGCTAACCTTTAAAATAAAAGATCAGTATCACCCAACCAAAGGAGACAAACCATGGCGAGACACTGAATGACCTAATAGCAAAACACATGTCCTGTGGCCCTAGCTCTTTTTGCACGCATTTTTAATTTGAGTTTTATTTTTCCTGGAGCAGATTAAAGTAAAGCGCTGTGTAAATTGTGACTGTTTTGCAATCAAAAAGTGCAAGTTTGTGCTCTCCGCGTGGAGGAGAGTTTTGAAATGTAAACATTTTGGACTGTTCGAGATATAAGAACTCTTCATATAGCTTCTGATCTGTGTAGCGGCTTGTGTAGGCTACATGAGCTGCCACCAGCAAAATATATCAAGATCTCAAACTTAGCTATTTGCATTCCCGTTGGATTGTGGGTAATGTAGGTGTCAGGTGTAGAGCAGAAATAATGATGGAGTAAAAAAATATATTTATAATGAATTTTATAAGACCCTCCCTGCCTAAAAATACCCACAACTCATTATTTAAAAAATAAAATAAACAGACCTCAACCAATAGAAGTCTGAAACACATCACTGTGCCATAGTCAGTGCCTTTTTCTGAAGGTATATTCAGAAGTAAAGTGAGATTCACACAATACATAATCATATAACATTAATGCCTGTCACTTTTATATGCAGAACGACCGAAGGGAATCAATGATCGCAAAATCATCGCAAAAAATAATCTGCGTCTTCATGAAGAAATGTAAATTGTTTAGACCTCCATTTAAAAAAAAATCACAGCAAAATATGTTTATTTTGGTTTTATAGCACTGTCGTTGAGCCAGTTTGGTGCCGACATGTAACTTGTGAAACTTGCCGAAACAGAACACAAGTAATTGGTTTGTTCGAGAAATCCTGGTATTGAGCCTGGCCTGGCCTACACAACAGGTCATTAAACCGGGCACGAGTTAGCCTTAAGTAGCGGGAGCTGCACAAAAAAGTTATTCCAGACGCAGTCCCTTGAAAATGCAGTGAAATTAACCAAGCTGTGTGTGCCTCCAAGTGATGTTAAGAACCAAGACAAGATGTTTGGTTTACAGAAATATGTTGACAGGTTGTGTTTGACCAATGCAGAGAAACACAAGGAATCCCAACTTGCTCTCATTGGAGAACTTTTTTGAAGGGGCCCTTTAACTCCTGCTTCCAAATATTACAAGGATCTCACATCTTAAAATACTGATCAAGAGTCAAAGTGGCCTTTGCTAAGGCAAAGTATATATTCTTTTAAAACATGCTGTACACAGATGAATAATTTATATTGTCAACCGTAGATCAAATGTAGCACAACAGTTTGTGCCTTAGGAGCCTTTTTAAGTCAGAAAATATGCAAAAAATAAATGTCTTTATTTGAACCCGCCGGTTGTTTATTTTTATTTGGTGTGTATCTTTGGGTGATAGCAGTATGCAAATATACTCACACACACACACACACACACACACACACACACACACACACAGACACTAAACAAAGGCGTTGAAAGTGTGCTGACGGCCCTTTCCTGGTGTTCCTGTGAGAGTGAGTCAGACAACTGATGCAGGTTGCAGCCATCTATATATCTACACAAAAACACACACTCACACACACACACACACACACACATACAGTGCGTGTAAAGAAGGTTGTGGGAGGCGACAGTGCAGCAGACACTCTGGAGTCTCTGGATACTAATAACACACCGCTGACACTGCTTTCATGTGGCACACTGTTGGAAAAGGGAGGAGACATGTGTGTTTGCGTGCGTGTGTGTGTGTTTGTGTGTGTGTGTGTGTGTGTGTGTGTGTGTGACAAACAAGCTGCTTTAAACATACAAACCTACAGGTTTTCCATCAATTAAAGTGGTTAAAATAAAGAAAATTATGTTTCACATATCTCACTGCTTTCTTTCCGAGAGATAGATGAAGACATTTATCACGTCAATCAGTTGGCAATAATAAAAATGTGCTCCAGAAAACTTAAATAAATTTGCAGTGAACAGACAAACCTATAAAACAAATACAACAGCAAAGAGTACAATTGAGTCATCAGCTCAAAAAGCCAAGAGGAAGTACTTGAGTCCTGTACTACAAAGCAAGGTTGTGGTAAGAGAAGTAGCCTAACTTGAGCATACTTCTGAACAGGGTAGATCGTCATGGTAACTTATACACAACTAACCAAATCAGCCACGACCAATAAGCTGTCTTGATCACAGAGGTCTATGAGCTGATCATGAGAGGGGAGGAGGGTTTTTATATTCTGTTCATTTGTATTAGTTCCATACCCCTCAGTTTGATACCATCAGGGCTGCAATTTTGTTTTTAAGATTACCTTTCAGGATTTTGTCTTTATTTGGTATAGGAAATCTATAGAGTGATGGTAAATGTGGGGAGAGAGAGACTGGGGGATCCAATGCACCAAACAGCACCAGGATTGGAGTTTGAACCGGCAACCAGTACAAGGACCGAAGCTTTTGTACGTGGCGTTCCTGCTCTACCAACTGCTTTATACCAGCAGCCAAACAACGGCCCTTTCAAACAAGCCTCTGGATCCTCTGGGTTGACATTATAAGTTGATAACCAGTTTGTGTGATGGCGTAGCAATCACCTTGTCAAGGTTGGTGAAGACAGATCACCAAAAGATTCCCTGGGTATGTTGAACTCGCTTTGTAGGCCTCAGATTTGCAACCAGTCAAAAAAAACAACAACAGTTTTGAAGGATCATCAGAGACTCTGCCTTTAATGTGTGTGCCATCAGCATGTTTTAACTTAAAGAGAAATCACAAGCAGACATTGTTATATGTGTTATTCTTGATTGGTAATGTATTTCATTTCTTGTTGTCAGTTATCATTTCCTGATTTACTTTGTCACTCTCATGTCCCTAGTATAAAGCTTTTTTGTTGCCTCCTTTTCTTTTACGCCTTTGTGATTGTGTGTCCCACCCTCATTGTTTTCACCTGACTCCGGTTAGTCTCACCTGTCCCTGATTACCCCTGTGTGACGGTTGGGTCTCTGTCTTTCCCTTTTTCTTTTCTAGATCTTCTTAATTTGATTCTTCCTTCTTGTGTGGATGTTTCTTCATGGCTGTCCCTGTGTTTTTACAGTTTTCTGCGTATTGTTCTTTTGCTTTGGATGGTTTCTTCCATTTTCCTATTTTTATGATTACATGTTTTTAACAAACATGTAATCATAAAAATAAACCAGAAAATGCCACTTGCTTTTATTGTAGAGTGTAGAACTGGCGCTGTTTATTGGAGGTTGACTTGCTAACAGTGTTAGGCATGTTACCGAAAATGATTAAATAGTTACAGTTTGTAGTTACTTATACCAAAAAGTAACTGAGTAACTAACAGAGTTACTGCTTTATAAAAGTAACTAGTTACTGGGAAAAGTAACGTGTGTGTTAGTTTATATTTGCTTCAAAGCTCATATTAGTGTTATTTAGTGTTGCTGTGGCAGAAAAGTGCTGAGACAAGATCACAGATTAGATCTCTGAAGGCAACAGAGTGTATATCAGCCGGCTAACGCGAGCTGCACCTGTGTCTTCAGCGTCGGGCTCTCCGAAGCGTGTTGTTGTTTGGCTCGGTGCGTCTTTCTTGTGGGAGACGTTTAATTTCTTGCACATAGACTACATCTTATCTATATTCTTGCCATTCAACTCGAGCAGGGAAAAATAATCTTGTTTTATCTGAGACAAAACTCACGGCCTAACTATATAACCTAGCTGTGTTTGTTTACAGCCCGCAACGTTCTTTCGGCCTGGATGCTATCGGTCCGATGTTAACGTAACCTTGCCCGCTTGTTGTCTTACTTAACATGTTAGTCTCCACACTGCTAGCTACTAGAAGCCTGTAGGTGTTTGCGGGACTAGCTAATGCAGCTGTTCAGAAGTTGCATTTATCAAAGTCAACTATTTCCCTCACCTTTATCAAGTATTTTTTCAATCTGGTGTCAATCCAAAATGTTTTCTAGCGTTCTAGTTCATTTTACACAATGATTACCGAAGAACAAAGAGTGCTAGCTTTTCTCTATTCTGCTTTAGTAGAAACAACAAGAAATGTTGGTCCATAGGTCCGGACTGAAGTATCTTAGCCATCAAATGGTTTGCAGCTGTGGTAGGATTCATCCTACAACTTTTGATTCTATGATTTATTTTCTTGTGTCAACAGCATGTTGACATTTTGAATTCATTGAAAAACCTTGACCACTCTAGAAAAGACAGTATGAGCTTTAGTACACACATTCCAATGCCTAGTTTTTGACAAACGTTGACTCAATCCATTTTTATTTTTAAAGGTGAAATAGTTGTAAATAAAGAATAAGCTCTTATTTACAGTCTATGAGGTCTTGTTGACCGGTAGCTTTGCTAAGTTGGCTACCGGCACCATTGCCCAGCTTGAGAACGAGAGCGCAGTCGCCAGGATTTTGAACTTGTCAGGCCCGGGGCAGAGGGCTCTCCGTGGGTGAAGTGTCAGGGTTTGAAGACAGGGAGAATGTTAAACTGTTGCAAAAAGCTGAGTAGGGAGTTCAACCCGGACTCTGGGGATGACGAAAGCACGAAGTGTCAGGCTGGGAAAGCGGGTGCAGAGGGATGCGTTGGAGCTGGAGCTCATAGCCCCAGAGGTAGCACTAGTGCGCCAGGCATCCCGGGGCTACAGCCACAGACCCACACTCGGCTCTCGTCCCCGTTTTCAAAATCCCGATTGGACTCGCTTTATCTCTGCGTTTCAGTAACATTGAAGTTATCCTGTGTCTTTCAACGATACAACTTCCCTATCTAAACATAATTTTCTGTTCCTAGCTGTCTCTCTTACTCTCTCCTGTAAATAAACCGAAATGCTTATGCAGTTGTTTTGCCTATTTGCAGTGCGTTTGTTTCTTTTGCAGCCCGTTTCAGCCTTTGTTGTGGTAGTTTGCATTTGCTTTTGAATGTGCAGTGTTTCTATATATGCTGCATGTTTTTCTATACATATGTCGTTTCATCAGTTGCTGAGCGTTTGACCCCTACCGGCCACCGTAATTCACCCAAAGTTATATACGAGATGTGAGGCAGACTAGTACAGGCCATAAACCGTGTGCATATAGGTGACGTAAAGAAACAGGAGAAACAGACATTCAAATTATCATGTTCACCTGAAGCCGCAAGCTTGCAGGGTGTGGACCCCAAACCACTGATCCACTAGGACACCTTCCATGTTTGTTTAGGCTCTAGCCTTCCTGTGCTGAGCCCTCAGCTTCCAGGTGTCAGAGAGGAATGTATGTGAACATCACACAGGGAGGGCCAACAGGGACTTGTAGAAACCTGTGACTGCAACCCTGCAGGAAAAATGGTTTTTTAACAAAGCTATTGTGTGTTTCCTGCAGACTATTGTTCCAACAAACAAGCAGTGTCTTATTGTATATTAATACTACAAACAGCAACATGATAGCAAGAAAAGACAAGCCAGGTGGATTTGTGATTCCATTTTTCATGCATTGGAATTCTTACCTCTAGAGTGTTTCATCAGGCTCTACTTAAACATTGAGAAAATTAATTTTTGGACATTTATGTCACAATAAAAGGTTGGATGATGTGTCTCAGGTTGAGCTGAGGTTAATGTTTTGCACTCCTGCTCCTTCGCGTTCACATGCCAAAGAGGCGGTGAGACAAGGTGATGACATAAGCTGCTTGGAGCTGAGCTAAGAGGAAAACTCAGCAGCGGAAGGAAAGTTTATAACAGTGTCTTGAAAGATTTGGAGCTGACGTTACTTTCCTTTCCCTGCCTCCAGCAATGATCTGCACACTGCGTCTGGACTGATATGTGCTTTTAAAAGCCAATACTTTAGTGAACTTTTGTTTTTACTGAGTACTGCCAATATATGTTGTTGGTATGGTGCCAATATAAATGCATATTTTGGGAAATAATCTGAAGGAGCTAGTAGCCCTTTAAAAATGAACTGCACTTGGCAATGGATTTTGTGCCACAGAGAAAATCTTTCAATGTTAGATAACATAAATCTAAGTAGTCATATTTAAACATTTACAATTCTACAATTCTATAATTCACTTAGCAGACGCTTTTATCCAAAGCGATGTACATCAGAGAGTAAATACAACACAAGCAAGGATCTAGAAAAAAGGGAACAATGTCAGTAAGAGCAAACGACCAGCTTTGAGTCACACAGTCGCTGACAGGCATTGCACAGAGGCAAAGCACAACACTGACTGCAGTTCTTGAGAACTCTAATCAGTATAGAAACCATCTTATAAGTCGTCGTTATCAAACAAAAACCATCATCATCATCAATAATATCGAGACCATCATCATTGAGTTAGAGCTACAAGAGCCATTTCTCATTTATTTTACTTTGATGCAATATGCAGGTTAAAATGGACAC